GGTGATGCCATAATGAAATGGATCTTTGTTCACCTCTTTTAATTTATATGTGGCAATAATGTTTTGGGAAGTAAAACAAGTATTTATTATTAAAACACTACCTACGATGTTTAAAAACATTTGGCGTGAATATGTTAAATATAATATCAGCACTGAGCCCCCTTAAGAAGCAGGCCCAGGCCTTAAGCTAAAATGGCCCTGCTTAAGATTTATTTCACAACAGTTCAAGCAATACAACAATTTGTCAGACCAGTGACTGCACTCATACACAATGTCCATGCATCAGTAAATGGTTAAAGAGTGTTGTTTTCTTCTATTCCAGAAACCGACATTTTTATGGAATCCACTCTAATATCACTATTCCTTCCAATTAGATTGGAGAATCCCGTGCTTTCATAATCAGGAAGGTCATTCTTTTCTACTAATTACAATATTTTGGCATCGTTCAATTATTATTATTATTAATTTTTTCTAGGGCTGTGAAAGTCCTGCCATATATTTACCACTTGCGATTTTTAAAAACACATATAAAAAAACCTGAAAGCTTTCAGATTTTATATTATGCCCAAAGAAGCATTTATTAACATTTTGTGTGTTACTTTTATTTATTAAATATCATGTTCTTTGCACTTCAACCACATAAAATTCAATTCAACAGCAATATCCCAAAATATTTAAAAACAGCATATCTTTAGAACTTCCGATAGACAGTCTAGCAACCTGGAGATAAAAATGTTTTATTTTGCACAGTGTTGTCATTGCTCGCTTTGAAATCGTTGAGTTTGTTAATCAAAAATTCATTTAAATATGAAATAGATAATAAACTAAATTTCGAAATTCAAAATTCAGGCTTCCACTTGCGCATACTCGGGCGCTGGATTACATGATTCAAAACTTGATGACTATATACTAATGTTGTTTTTTCACAATGGAAGAAATATACATACATTCATGAAGATTTCACCATTCAGTACAACCATGCCACATGTTCAAATACATTTGCCAATCAAATACATCAAAGGGTGATTTCTACATCATTTCAAACCAGTAAATGTAAACTGGATGTTGTTTTCATCAGTTAAAAAACTGAATATAATAATAATTTTTAAAAATCTGAAAGCTTTTAGATTTTATATTATGCCCAAAAGGGTATTTTTTAAAGTTTTGCCTGTTACCTTTATTAATAAAATATCAAGTTCTTTGCACTTAAAACACATAAAATTCAATTCAACAGCAATATCACAAAATATTTAAAAAGAGCATATCTTTAGAATTTCTGATATACAGTCTCGTTCCATACACTGTTACCATTGCTTGCTTTCAAATCGTTGAGTTTGTTAATCAAAAATTCGTTATAAAGTTTTACAAAAATATGAAATAGATAATCACACAAGTTCAAAAAATCAGGTGTCTAGGTGACCATGTTTAAGTGGAGGATTACGTTATTCAAAATCTGATGGCTCTGGGTACCGTTGTTTTTTTACAATGCAAGAAACATACATACATTCATGTAAGATTCTCAATTATTTAATTTCCTTAAATACTATAATATAGGGCAGTAATATTTGATGGCAGCAATTTAAAAGGTGATTCACCTTTTATAGTGAAATGTTACAAAATGCCATTTTGAGACTAATAACCCTTCTGGACTGCCGACCCTTTGCACTAAAAATTCAATTACAAAATTTGCAAACCATGCATGTAAAAAGAAAAATAATGTTTCACAAACATACCTAAACAATCTCTTTTTTTCCAAGTTACAATGCCGTACTAAAAATAATGCATACAACTTATGCTAGCTGACTGACGTCCCTGAGCATTGACGGCATACAAAGTGCCATTCTAATGCACCAGCGTTTCGGTAACCAACTTAGATTGAAAAAAAATATTTCAGAGAACAAACAAATAAATATTGAGCTTTTTCAAATTTATATTTCATGATTATCCATGCTGCATTACTTTATAAACAACTACTATTTCATATTTTTATAGTTTCGACATGTGATCTTAATAGATTTGATTATCTATAATTCAGGATTGTACTCAATGGTTTCAGATCTCAGACTTAGTACCCTATCATAGATTTAACAGGCATAAAAATATTAATTTATACCCAAAAATAGGAGAACCAGGTGATACATGTTATAATACCCCCTCCATTCTTTAAAGAGAAAGAAAGTTGTAATGAAAATGGATGAAATTCATTTTTATTAGTTAAGGACTTTAATATCAACTTGTTGTCATAAAGTAATGGATCTATATAATGAGAGACTGTTATAGTGAGCATTGACACTATACTCAAATCATACAAATATAATTTAAAAAGGTTAGAGGTGAGTAATAAATACAAACCAAGTGATAAATTCAAATTTGCTAAGAATAGGAAATGAAAAAAAAAAAAAAAAAAAAAAAGGATGAGAAAGAAATTATATGATATTAATTACAAAATTAGATAATCTTAAAAACAATGCGAAAAACTGTTTGATAAATCAGACTACACCTTTATACTCTGAAATAATTATACATATTAAGTTTGAGGTAATCATTACAAGTATATAATAAAATAATTGTTGCAAATTTGATCAATGAAATGGACTAAAGCTTGTTTACTAAATATAACTTCTCATTTCTTTAATAAGAATGGATATTTTATGCCTGTTAAGAGACCAAGTGCTTTCCTTTATAACTATCTAACTGCTCAAATGGAAGATCTGTATAATATTTAGATTCATAGAAATTTGCACAATAGAGTTCAAAAAACTAGATTTGAGACTTTAAAACACACCACAAATGTACTTTCAGAGATTGGAACTGTTTGCTAACAAAATATGGTGTGTTAGTTTCTTACTTAGTTTACCAAAGTTGTCACATTAGGTGATTTATCACATTTCTTGTATCTAGGCATCACAAAATCTTTTTGCACCTGGTTAACGGGCAAGTGTCAAATTAGTTAATCACATACATAAACATACATCAATAAATCATTTAATCAATACTACTCATTCAGAATTTCATACAGCTCAAATATAACAGGAAATATAATTGTTAAATTATAATGGTAAACTTACATCTAACACAGGAATCCCTTGCAGCCTAATATCTTCTAGTTTACAAAAATGATTCAGCCTGTCAATGTCTTTCCAGTCATTTAGAAGCACGTTATTGAAATTAATTATCTGAAGATGCAAAAATACATCTTCCCATGTTGAAGGTTCAGGAACAGAAGCAATGCGAGTATCAGCCATAATTAAGGATTCCAAATTAGGAAAGATTTTACCAATGAGTATTACATCATTCCATGAAGATATTGGATTCCCACAAACAAAAAGCTGTTTCAATTTTGTATACTGCTTATTGGAAGGCAAATCAATACATGTGTAGTCATTAAGGCTTAGGTGAAGTTCTTTAATGCTGCAAAAAAATAAATAAATAAAAATTAGGCATTGACATAATAATAATTTTGGTTAGTCTGTATTTTAAGGGTACCCCTTGGATTATCGACAAGATGTTTAATTTTCTGCAAAGTTGTTTCATTTATGGTAACCTGAGTATTTTACGTTGAATGTTATGGAAACTCTATTATGACATGATTGGTTGTAGTGCGTGATTGCGGTGATTTTGACTGTTGGGAAAATATTTCTCAGGGCTTATTTATGCATTGGATGTTTGTTAGGAAGTATGTTGCTTATTTTGTGCTTAACACTGTAAAATGCTGGCTGGTAGTATAATTAACCCGAAGTTTCGGTACACTTAAATGGCTTCATTTACCTCTCAGTAAATTACGCGGCGACATTTAAGCATTTAGAAATCAGAGCTCATATCAACACTATGGAAGGTTATGAATTGTAATAAAAAGTGACATGCTGAAGACATAGAAACTTCTAAATAAGGTAAGTTGATTTTTCCTTTTTGTTCTGCGCAGATTAGATAATACATATATCCATTCTTATGTTATTTTTTTGTTTTACTTTGATTTATGTGAAGTTTATTGAGATTATAATTTTTTATGTTTTACTGCATTATGTTTTGTACACTATTTTATTTGGGAGGGTGTTGCACGTAAAAAAATGGCATAAAAAATCGCAAACTTTCACCAAGGGCTACCCTGAAACATATTCTTCCCATAATTTTTTTAACAATAACACACAGTGCATTTTAAAGTTTAAAATAAAATTGCTAAGTATATTAATTATATTTTACATATGATCAGTAGCCAAAGAATAAATGTGCAATAAAGTTATATCACTAAATTATATTCGTTGCCAATTGTACACAGTCAATCATCAGCTGAATCCTAGTAAAAGTGCATCAGCCATCAGCTAAATTCCAATAAAAAATAGGTCAAAATAGAATTCATGGCCCCTGCTTGTTAAAGGTTTCACTAAATATGTGACAACATCATACCTCAATCCTTTACCTGACTATGAATCATTTCCTCCCTCCCATACAGTTCAAATTTTACAGTATTACAGAACATCCAAATTTTAATGCAGCGTTTATCAGGCTTTAAAGGCATATACTGTACAACTCTACAATTCCTAAACGCCCTTTGAACTTTATCATAGCTTCATCAATTAAAAGTTGTTTGAATGGCTTAAAACAATCTAAAAACTGCCCTTTTAACCTGAGTTTTCATCATTTTCTTTATCAGAGAGATGAAAATAATGTTTAATTTTCAAATCGCTATTTCTACACATTAACTTCTTTATTACAGTACAAAGTCTTTAATTCAGACTCGTTGGGACTTCGGCGATTCCGGATTAGGGGTTTTTCAGGATTATACATCATCAATTTAAATCTGGTAAGATGGCATGCAGAAATTATAAAATTAAAAATATGAAACCGTAATTTATGAAATAAAGAGCAATTATGATCTAAAGGGTATCAAAATTTACACAAACACAAACACACACACACACACACACACACACAAAAAAAAAAAAAAAAAAAAGGTTAATACTTATTTATTTACTTTATTAAACATTTCTTTGAATGCAAGTTGCTTAAGTTGCTTTGTTTTTTGTGTGTTCAGTTACAAATTTCCACTGTTCAAGTCCTGTAATTGCTGTGCCGAGAATACTGACCAACTTGTCAATCGAAATTTTTTCGTTTTCACTAACCTCTTGGTCACTTTCTTCATGCCTTTGTTCATTTTTTGCAGCAATTCCACTTTTTGTTTGATTGACATCGAAATATGCTTTTGCTTTGTAGATCCTTTGGCAGCTCCAGAATTAAAAACTCTTTTTGACATAATCGAAATTCCAAGATTAATTTTTATAAAATTGCTCTAACAGTCTGCAAAAAATAATAAGCCGGATTTAATTAGAAGATTAAGGAACAGCACAATCTGCAACTTTAACTGAAATAGGTAATTATTTAATTTTAGCCTAGCTTATATCGTTCGTTATACATTAAACGTGCATGCATAAAGGTATCATGCTCATGCATAAACGCATTATGCGCTTACCGCAAGCGCAGAAAGTTTGTAGCTTTGAGGTCCGGATTAAAGACTTTGTACTCTACTTTGTATTGCCAAGTATAGGATTCTGGGGCCAATAATCATTCTTGCATAATGCTTACTACTAAGAAAACGTTTATAAAACCTCATATATCATTTACTGAGAGTATAGGCTATCAGCTTGCATCTTCAACACCATGATTTTTTTGGCACAAAACTCTGCATATTTATTTGTAATCTGTCTAATTACTAAACAATATTCATCGGCACAAGTAATCTGAAATAATCTAAAGCAGATGAAACCAGTCCATTTCATGGCATTACTCAATTCTAACTGGGGGAGAAAGAAGAGTTTTCTCTTTTTTTTTTTTTTTTTTCAGCAAACACTATTGCTTATAGTTTTACAAGGGGTGATCAAATGAAAAGGTATGAAACGAGACGGTGGGTACAAATGTAGACTTTATTCAAAATATACACCATAGGCCTGAGGACAATGATACCACTGATGAACAAGCCGCAGGATTCCTTGTTCCCCTGATGGACCTGCGTAGGCGTCGGAGTGTCTCACAGCGTCATTGAGTACGTCATCCGAGTGAAGCGCTTCCTTCAGGTGTTTTCCAGTGACCAAACACATGGAAATCGCAGGGCGACATGTCCAGACTGTAGGGCGGATGGTCCAATGTCTCCCACTTGAACTTGGCCAGTTCCATGTGTGCGACTCTGGAGACGTGTGGACGCACGTTATCATGGAGCAGAGTCCCACCCTCCGTGAGCAGCACCAGTCTTTTGTTCTTGATGGACATGCGTAGGCGTCGGAGTGTCTCACAGTACATTTTTCTGTGCTCGAGGAGTAGCAAAAGTAGCGGACCTTGAACGTTGAAAAAGACGGTGAGCAACACCTTGCCTGCTGACGGCACGGCTTTGAACTTTTTAGGGGGAAGTGACGACTGTCCCGCTTTGTCTCTGGCTCATAGTGATGGCACCAGGTCTCATCATCTGCGACAATCCATGAAAGTGGGGTCTTCCTGATACCGAAACAGATGTTGCAGTGCTAGCCCCATACGCAGTTCTTTTTGCTGGTCGGTGAGCTGCTCCGGAGCCCAAGCGGCACACACCTTCCAATATCGCAACCTGTCGTGAACAACTGTCCACGCAGTTCCATAGCTGACATTCACCTTCACCGCCAACATTCGCAATGAAACATGCCAATCACTTCTCACTAGGTCGTCCACCTTGTTGATGAGATCGCTCGTGATGACAGTGTTTGCCTGGCCTGGTCTCGGGTCATCATACACTCTCACGGCCTGCACAAAAACGGGCACTCCATTTTTTGACAGACTTGTCAGAGACATTTCTCCTGTAAATGTCTCCATCTGGCGATGAACAGCTGCAGGTTTCTCACCTTCCGCTGTCAAATCGGATAACACCATGCTGCTCCTCAGTCATCGAATTTTGCAACGCGAACGCCATCCTCTACGGACCTCATACAGACTGCTGCATCATCTGGACGTCGCTTTTGATAAGAGCCACTGCTCTCTCCTGCACATGCGGGCGCCCGCGCATTCTCTGATCCCAGTAAGACTCCAATCACATCCCGAGATGTATCGCTACGTTCTGCCATGGCGGAATATGCAAATATTTAACTGTTACGTTTTTACGTCGTTTCGTACCTTTTCATTTGATCACCCCTTGTAAATGCAGAATTTTTATCTTCTTATATCTTAACATCTATATATCTTAATATCAGCTAAGATATCTTAATATCTTAGCTGATAGGAAAGAAATTGTTCTGTATTGAAGGTAGAAACTTTAGCTTAAGTTTCTTATATTCTTTAGCTGGTTTCTTGAGGCCCTACTCAAAATATGCAATTAGAGGTTTCCTTTAGTTTTAAGGGTTTATGTCTGTTGTCAAAAACATATTTGCAACACATTTGATCACTAAAACATGAAAGCTGGGTGTACACTTACTACTGGAACTTTATAGTACTTTCATGTGCAAAATCATTTAATATTAACATTAACCCTAAACATTTTGTTTAGGTTAAATATACCCTTCCTTTCTGTAAATTTAAGGACTTTAAGGATATAAAGTGAAAATTTTTCATAATTTTTGTGAGCTCATTCTTGCAAATTCCCTAACTTTCATTACTGAGATTTTATGTTTTCGAAGGTCTTTATTTATTGGCCTCTTCAAAGACCAATTTCAACAGGTACTTTAAAACAATCTTAACAGCTTTTTCATTGCCAAGCCGGTAAAAATAAAACTTCAGTTTCATGTCCTTAAGTAGTAGCAGTGGGTTGCATTTCTGAAATTAGTAGCACCTTTGGCATAAATGATGATTGAATAGGTCCTTATTTCAGCTTCAAATTCTGTTTTACATATATCTCTTAACACTTTATCTAGGCTTAAGTCAGTCAGCACAACAATTAGATATATTTTTCTTTGGTTTGTTGAACTTTTTCTACTTCAGTTGGTAGAGCTGCAAATCCAATGATTTGCACATTACCTCTATAGGTTTGGAATGCATACTAGACTGCTTATATATTTTTCTAAGTATTATCTATTGTTCATCTTCCAGGATTTTTTTGGCTTCAGTTTCATTTTGTTCCTTTCTAATGTCCTGCTGTTTTGTTCCAATCAGAATATCCAAAATTTTGTCAGCTCCATATTTTTCTATTTACCTGAAAAGGTCATCCTCATGCCTAATTTCCAATTTCACAACTAATTATAAAATACTAGCTTGATATTAGGTAGCTGTGTTCTGAAGGAGAGTTTTTTTTTCGCTTGATCCATTTTTATTTGGTCTGGTCTTTTCATCGCCATCCCTGGTTGCATTACTTTCCTAGAAATCATTAGAATCATACTCGCTGTTTCATAGGAAATTAAGTCACAGAAATATCCCTATATGAATATTCCATCACCTTAGTACCTACATGAATTTGTGTGAAAATATATAAAAATTGGGAGACACCTGTGTGGCACTGTGCATTGTGGCCAAGAGTCATTGCTCACTGAATGAAGTTGGGCTAATCAGACTTAATCCCTCCTGCTCTGGTTCTCATAATAAAACATGCTGTAAAGTATTTCTATTGTTTATGATACTAAAATACTTTCAAAACAATTTTTTCCTCTCACTTAGAAGAATTTTACTAATAAGATTATTTATGCATTTTTCATTCAGAGTTATTTGTTAATTTATCTTAACTTAGGAATCCAATTCTAAAACATAAACTACAAAATTTTTAAACAGAACAGCCACTATAGAACTAATTAAATATGAATTAATTTTTCAGGTAACTCTTACATCTGCTGTGACTTATCTTTCAGTCATAAACTTGCAACATCACCATTGCCTGCAAAATAACATAGCACAAACAGGCCCTTTTAACACTTAAATTTGCCAAATGGCAGCATATTAATTAAATACTGAAAGATAGTATCTAGCTTATAATTAAAAACAGTAATTCAAATTACTTCACTTCAGTTTAAGACTTCCAGAAACATTAATAATAGTTCTTCATTTAAATTACCACACACTTTCAGTAACATTAATTCATTTAAACTTATTTAATTTTTATGCAGTTAGAATAAATTAAAAAAAAAAAAAAAGAAAGAAAAGAATGTAAATGCTTTTATGAATATAAAGTAATATGAGTAATATTATAAACTCACTTTGGCATAGCATCAAGAAAACTACATACAGTTTCCCATGGAACATGAGTATGATTTAGAACTAAACTGTGTAAATTCTCCATTTTAGTCAGCTGTTCTGGCATAGCCTCTTTCATGTCATTATGGCTTAGATTTAGGAAAGACAAATTTGGCATGTACCGTAAAACATTGTCAATCTGGAAGAGAGAGAGAAAAAAAATAAAATGCATTAATTAAAAATATTATAATATAATAATTAGGTAAAAAGCTGCATAAACTAACTAAAATTGTGATATTCAATATAGTTTAATGCACAAAATGCAAATCCTCTTTCCTCTCCCATTAGTTTGGTTTGGTTAGGTTAATCATGACAAAGCACTTGAGAGCTATAAGCCTAAGGAGGAATGCCTTCGTGGAGGACTTTATGAGGGAAAACGGGCCATATACACATTACACAAGAAAATGCCCATGCAGCCAGCCTGCTCACCAGGATTTGAACCTCAGATCGAACTACCAGCATTCAGTGACTTTTACCACTCGACTGCTTGTGGCCTCCTCCCCCATTAAATGGGAAAGCATATCACAGCTGTTACATCCGCAGACTTACCTCTCCACAGGAGTTCAACATAGGAGAGGCTTAATTTTTCAGAATTCTTACAGTTGTCTATAAGTAGCTAACTATAAGGGCTCATATTTAATGTTATTCATAAAATCAGTTCATCATGGAAAGGTATCACTAAAACTCATTCAGTACAAAGTCTGAAATCTGGAATCATTCACAATCCAAACTTCTAGACTACAAGCAAACTTTTTTTTTTTTTTTTGTGTGTGTGTGTGTATTGTTTTACCCATGCACATTTGGTATTTTTTCATTAGAAAACACATGAATAGTCCTGATTTTTAGTTTCACTTCAGTACAAAATAAAATACCTCCATATTCAAGAAACATCATTTATTAGCATAAATCTGTATGATTAATAATTAGGTTATATGGCTGCCTTTTTGCTTTGCATACATCTCAAACCAAAACATTCTACATTAAAATCTTGTAGATTTTACACATACCGAATAATTTATACCCCTGAAGCAAACCTAGTGAATTATTATTTATTTTTTGCTTTCATCCTTACATTAATTCTCAATGCAGGGCAACTTGAAAAATAACTTAAGCAGTGATGTCCAAACAATGTTTGTTTTAATATTAAAAATTAAATACTAAAGAACATGGTAACCTTTTATACTGACTAGGCGATGATTAGATTTCAGCTAACTGAGAGTCTAACTGAATGTGTTGATAAGGGGAAAGTTAACAAAAATTTCTTTCCATATGCATAAAATAAGTTTTGTAAATGATACTCATAAGCCAAAAGATTACACTTAATGCTGTTTGAATTGAGAATAATTGATTTATTATTAAGGAAACTGGTGCCTAGTATGGCCATACCAGATGGCAGAACTTTGGGGAGGTAAAATTTTTAGAGAAGCATTGAGCAACAAAAAATAAAGAGATGGCAAAATCTTTAGAATTAGGGACGGCAATGGGATGCGAAATTTAGACATGCGACGAGGGACGTGGGCACCACCCCTTTACCGTCGGTTAATTGGTGTAGCGCCACGTCCACCAATATCTAGAGTTGAACCCTGAGTCTTTCAAAAGAGCAATTACATGGCCATACAAGGGCTGTTAATATTTAGTATTACATTCTTGTTTGCTGGTTAACATATTCTATGGATAACGTGATTTACAGAGTTACATACTGACTTTGTCTCTCATTTCCGGCATACAATGCATATGCATTACCTGAATTACATTAATCTTACATTGCGTTGGATTACTTTTGTGTACAGTTACAGTTTTTAGCTGTACATTTCAATAAATATACCTACATTACTTGTAGATTGCATATAAATACAGTTTGCATGTACAGTTACATATGCCAATATTACATGTGCCTTACGTTACATTATTTTTATATACATACATAGTCAGGCACGCCTGCTTCACATATTACTTAATTTTACCTACACTGCTTAACTTAGGTTACATATACTTGCAGTTGCATATAGATACATGCAGATACATTCTGATTAATTTTTTAGATACAAATATTTACAAACATAATAGTCTTACAGGTTACTTACATTACATGTTATTTGGGTACTTATTGCATAATTTTCCAGTACATGAAATAGACATTCCAATACATACATTGCTTTGCGTTAGACATCCTATATCCCTTATTCATAATACAAAACATATATGTTACCCATGCATTTTTATTAGACATTTCTGCATTTATATTGCATTACTTTAAATTGCATAACTTACTTATACATAGCTTACTGATACACAAAAATATTTACATATATTACACTCCCTTACATTACATTGCTTACAGATATATGCACTTTCATACATTCGTTATGCCTACATTATATATCGGTTCATTATATATGGACTTACGGTATAATTTGCCGAAATTTATTTATTTACACAGTACATGCACATTGTTAAATGCAACTGACTTTCCAGGTATGAATACAGGCAGTCTTTATACTGTGAGTTTCTAGTCTACATTATAGTTTCTTACAATTCACTTGAATGACAGTTTTCCTACATTGCAATACATGTCCTTTTTAAAATGCTTAAGTTGTTTTTACATGCTGGGTTGTTCTATGGCTGACACAAGTCTGTATCTAAGTCGGACAGTCTGTCCATCAACTGTACCAGCTTTTTAATAAAGTGCCGCTGTTTTATCATATATTTACAGAACGGCTGGCGATTTGTTTCAGGGAGATTGATATGCAGTCCTTCTGTTAATGGGCATGACGTTAGATAGTGCTCTGGTGAGCCTGAGTCGCCGCATGCACATTGACTTGTGGTGACTTATGCCACGCTTGAAGAAATATTCCGGGTAGGGCCCATGCCCGGAAATGAACCTTACCAACTGTGCGTTCGCTACATTTCGGCTAGTGTCCACATAGCCGATGAAGTAGTGGGTCCTTCTCCCTGTGGTGCTTTGGTCCCATTCGTTCTGCCACATGCCAGTGGCCCTTAGGCGTAGTGTCTTCTTTAAATACGAATGCGGCCATGGGATGATAATTGGTGCATCAGGCGGGTCAGTTGTTGCCTCTTTGGCGAGTTGGTCGGCAAGCTCATTGCCATAGTGGCCAACATGAGCCTTTATCCACTCTAATTTTGTGCGGTACTGGGGGGGTTGCTTCTAAGATCTCTCTGGATTCCCTGTATAATCTCCGAGGGATGATCTGCATTCCAAATGGCATATAACGATGATAAGCTGTCCGTTTTAATGGTGACATGGCTATGCTGGTGCGAGTGCAGGTAGCGAATCGCTTGTGCAATTGCCACTGCTTCGCTTTGAAAGACACTGTTATGTTGTCTTAACTGTCCCTTCCATTTCTCGATTGCGTTGTCTTGTTTCGTGGCGACATAGGCGCATCCCACTCTTTCGTCCAATCTAGACCCGTCTGTATAGATGGTCATTTCCCTTGAGTGATGAGTTGCAGTAGGATTAATTGAGATAAGTATCCCTTTGCCTTTCTCTGCCGGGTGGACGTCAAGAGGGCAGAAGTTTGTTTCGTACTCATCCGGGTAGTATGTTTCATCGTCAAAAGTAACTGCCTTCTTAAGTTGCAAAATGTGTTGGCGTGCTGCCTCCTCCTCAACCCGGATGTGCAGGGGAAGGAGACCAGCAAGTACGTTAATGGCATCGGTGGAGGTGGGTGCGGTAGGCCCGTGTGATTCCCAATGCGAATGGTCGTTGTATGCTGTTAAGATGTCTGACCTTCCTTCCTTGCATTGGGTAGGCCCATACTGCGGCAGCATACGTCACTATCTTCTCGATGACTGTCGTGTACAATACCTTTTGAATATGGGGGTTAAGCCCCCATTTGTGACCATAAAAGAGTTTCATTTGTTTGGCTATGGCTGCCGTCCGGAGTTTGAGATCCTGCACGTGAGGGATCCAGGTCATCTTATGATCAAAAGTGACCCCTAAATATCTTAGCTGGTCCACTATCTGCAGGCGTTGGTTGTTAATCTTTATGGTGGGGCGTCTTACTAAGGATCCTCCTTTTTTCGGAATTAAAAGGACTTTTGACTTATGTTCTGCAATTGTGAGCTTGAGTTTGGTACACTGGTCATGAAAGATCGCGCAAACTTCATTGCAATTTTTCTGTAATTTTTCTCGCGTGGTACCCTTTACAATAAGCGCCGCGTCATCCGCGTATGCAATGACTTTAGTGTGCGCCGGCCACGTCGCTGTCAGTACGAACGTTAAGTTCCATAAATGCGGCCACACAGCAAGATTGACAGCAGCAAAATTGTTAGAATTTAAAGAGATGCTTGGCAACAAAAGTTAAGAGCCACATTTGTGGGAACTGATTTATGCAGAACTTAGAAAAGGTGACTTAACTTCAGTGAAACAGAAGCCCGACAAAATTTAAACAGAATAACGTCTACAGTCACCAATCTCATGATGCTTCACCAATAGTATATAGCAGACATTAGCAAAATATTAACAAGTGTTAGATGTTACCAAAACCAAAATTTTCCAATTACAGAAATTTGCTGAGAAGTGATGAAAAAAAAAAAATATGATCATCTGATGTGATGACAATGCCCCAACCATCAAACTGCCAATTGCAAACTGCCTGGGAATGCTCCACATGGCAGTTACAGGACTTGAACAATGGAATTTTGTAACTGAACAAGAAATATTGTCTATCTATACAACTGGAGAGAAAATATTAGCCCCCAAAATGAAGCAACTTAACTTACGTTGAAAAAAATGTTTAATAAAGCAAACAATTCACACTGAACTTCTTTTCTGTAGATTTTGATTTCCTTAGATGGAAGTTCCTCCTTCCTTTCATAAATTATTCATTATTTCATAAAGCAGTATTTTGTATTTCTAATTTTATAATTTCTTTGTACCACTAAACTACATTTAAACTGATGATCTAATATCCGGAGAAAAATCCCAAACCTGGAATTGCTACAGTTCTGATGAGTCCAGATCTCAGACTTTGTACTGTACTCAAAATTGTTTCTAAGTAGCACCTTTTTCCCCTCTTTATAAGGAATTATTAGCAAAACTGAAACATTTTTATGAACTAGATGAATAAGCTGTATATGTTGTAGATAAAGTGTTCCATTTCAGGGGGATCAATTTCT